AAATAAAGCGTGAGTACATTTTAAAGGCTGAATGATCAAATTGTTGATGAAATCACTTTTATCTTTAGAAACTAGTCAGTTCTGTCTTGCTTTCCTTGGATTGCAAATGAAAAAGATTGTAGGAGCTCGGCTCATCTCAACACAGCCTCACTTATTCAACTGCCAAATGAACAGCTCAGAAATCCCTCTCCTGTCATTAAAGAGACCAGCATCATTCACACCATGTGAAGAGCTCAGTGGAGGTTTGCTCTGATGCACTTTCAATGTTGGTGTTATGAAAACTGAACGGAGAGAGAGGGAAAGACGGGGGAAAGAAAATCTGCTCTGAGTCTGGCTAATCCGGCGTCTTCTTTGAGACAACCACGATAAGGTCATAGATGAATAAATTATCCTTTGGATGAATTATTGATGAGGCTATGTTGGCAGTTGTGTGTACATTGTACTTGAGTGTGTGGTAACCATTGGCATGATGATTTTACCAACACTGTGCACACCGAGCCTTGTAGCCTCTGAAGAAAGGATAAAATAAATGAATTCAATTGAGTAGATTTGTCCTTGATCACACTGCAGGGCTAAAAGGTTGAGCATGACCATGATAAAAAATCAACAATACAAGTATTAACTTGTGAATACCAAGATTGCTCAAAGATTAAAGTGTTTTCTATTTCACCCATTTTACCAGTTTAATCCCATTAACAAGGCCAAAGACCTGCAGATATTATTCAGTAGTTTTTGTTTGGAGTTGTTGACAGAGTTTGTAGAGAGGAAACGTTAAGGCTGAGTAAATTCACTGATTTTGAACCTGAGCATTAATGATTTATATCAGTGAACTTTTTTTTTGATTTATTGCAAAGGAACATCAATATAACTGATGTATTTTTACCAGCTCCAAGATATGTTTTCACCCCAGTCTGTTTGTTTTTCCGTTGGTTTGTTTGTTTTGTTTGAAGGATGCATTATGGGTCAGGGAAGTACTCGTTAAATTTTGGTGCAGATCCAGGATTTTTGTTTTTCACTTTCTGTAACATTGTGAGAGATGGAGAATTTTTAAAAACATTTTCACCTTTTCCCAGGAAATTATTCATGGATCTTGATGGGAAAAAAAAATCAGACAGACTGATATTAATGAGTGTGTGAAATGTGGTGCAGTTTGATTGAATTTAAGGGGACTGTTGGGCCTTGGCAGAGGTAGGCGCTCTACGGAGTGCCGTTCTAGTTTTATATGTAATTTCTGGCTAACATCTTTGTTTGGATGGATTTAAAAACTAGAATGGCACTCAGTGGAGCTCATACCGCCACCAATACCTAACGGTCCCCTTAAATGCAATCAAGCTTCACCAGCCACACTCATTGATATCAGTTTCCTGAATATACCACAAAGATCCCAGTTTTATTCCCTGGGAAATTGGTGAAAATGTCAATAAATTATGTTGTCCCATCCTTTTACCAAGTTTTGTCAAAATCCATTAAGTATTTATTGCGTAATCGAGCTGAAAAACAAACCAAACACACAATGCAACAGACGGGCGAAAATATAACCCTTCTTGGTTTTCTAAAGATTTCCAGCCAATAAACCAGATTCTTAACTCTGTGACTTGAATGTAAATTAATGTCAATTCACCAAAATATCTTCCTGTAAAAACTAAATAGTGAAATATCTGAGATTTCTGGAGTCAGCTCAGTGTATGTAAAGCTTTTGATATTATATTGAGATAACATCTCAATTCTAGCATTTTAAGACATGCAGCTTTACACACATGCCTGCAAGTTGAGATGCCTTAATTTCCGCTACACACAGATTTGGCAACAGTCAAATCTTCTTTGTACGTTGCTCTCTTTGTGTACACGTTTTCAGAGCTGACCTTGCAAACCCGGTGCAGCCATCGGTTCGATACACCTTACGTAAGATTTCCCATCAAACTGAAGTGCCTGTTTCATCTCGGCTGGATTATTCATGGCCAGCGCTGCGGTTCAGGAGCTGCCGTGTTGCAGCCCAGTCAAAGAGCCAAGTCCTTGATCCCAGGTCGTGACCCCTGTCAAGGCACTGGCTCCTTCATCCCTGGTGACAGCTAGCCAGAACAAATGGAGTGTCACTA